GTGTAAAAGAACTGAGTTGCAGAGAAATAGTAGAGCCTCTTTCGTTCAGTCTCTCTTTTTGTCTCTCAAGGAGAGGAAGAAGAAACAGAGGTGAGTGATGAAAAAGGAGAGTGGTGAGTGATGAAGAAGACGGAGAAGACTGATTAAGAAGAAGGCTGAGGAGAAGAAAGAAGCCAAAGAGGGAGAGGGCCGAGGCGAGCGTCATTTGAGGCCTGTTTTTGTCGGCCAGTGACGCAAAAGCAGGCCGCGTGTTAGACGCGGTTATCAAAAAAGAGAGAGACGCGAGAGATTTGTATGTATATATATTGTATAGCTATGTATTATATATATTTGTTTGAATATTTTGGTCACAAGAGTGGCTTAGTTTAGTGGTTTGACTCAGTGGTTGAGGACCAAGAGACTAAGCCTGAGGTCAAAGGTTCGAACCCTCGGATCAACACATTTCTTTTTGTTTGTTTTTGTGTGTTTTGTGGGCGCTGACGTCAACAAACGGAATATTCCTTCTCTGTAACGGAATATTCCCCTGATGTGTATATGTATACCGTATGTACGTATCTGTATGTATTTTGTTTGTACATAAATCTGTGTATACCGTATATGTCTGTGTATATGTATACCGTATATTTGTGTGTGTGTGTGTGTGTTTCTGTATATGTAGAGTTTGTCTGTGTATGCATGTATACATATTTGTATTTTATATATGGTATGTATATGTATACTGTACGGGGAGCAAATATTCAGGCGAGCTCGTACTACTTTCTTCCAAGCTCCTTGTCTGTTCGATCGACCTGCGAACACAACGGCGGTGAGCTACCCGGCGGTGTGTGGCTGGAAAACCACTCCGACGGTCAAGTTAGCACACACTTAGGGATAGAGAGAAAGAGGAGAGAGTTGAATATCTAAGTGTATCTCACCAAAATGATTATCCCCCAGCATGGGAGGTGCAGACATGCTTATATACCTTCTGCCCTCCAAATCTACTCCCATTAGTCTCTCGACACGTGGTGCTGCTATCCCATATGTCAGCACAAATCCAGCAATCATCACCTAACCAAACTGTCAGGATAACTTGGTGGAGCCTGGCAGACCGGCGGAATCACCTCGGCCTCACCCGGTCGCGCTGCACCGCATGCCCGAATGCTCACTGGCCGAGCTCCATACCGACAGAGCTCGGCTGCATTCCGACAGAGCCGAGCTCGAAATAGATCATGCGGGTAAAACAAAGGCCTTCCTACTGAGCTAAAGGTGCGAGCCTTCCTGCCGAGCAACGCAAGTAGCACGGTTTCCACCTGTGCAAGTTCAAGTAGCTCGGTCTTGGGCTTTAGTCGAGTAGCCCCATCTGCGGGCAAGCCTAAAGCTATCCTGGCCCAAACGCGCTCGGCCTTCAACTTGCTCGGCCCTTACCATGGCCATTTCCAGCTCATAAAATCTCCCTCTCATATACGGTATTATAAAAAAATAATAATAATAATAAATAAATAAATATATATATGTATATATATTTATATATAAATAATAATAATGTTCAGAAGTCAAGAATCATGGCCCAGCAAGCACTCATTCATATTGTTTATAAGTTAAAGGCCATGAACAAGGGCCATACAAATAAAGCAATAAGAAACTTGGTGGATTTCAAGGCCCACCCAGCTAATCTATGCAAATCCAAGTTTTTAAATTAGCAAACTTGGCAATTCCAAGTCAAAAGGTGGTCACCAGGACAACATGCCTAATCAAAATCTGTGAGTGGGCCGAGATGACTATTTAAAAAAATATATATATATAAATAAAAAAAATAAATTTGAAGGCTGATGTAAAGTTTGAGCAAATTGGGCTGAGATACAAATAATGGCTTCCACTCAATAATTTTTAGTGCTAGCCAGGGGGCAAATGAAGGGGGCACAATTACTTAAGCCTATTTATATGGAACCTCGTTGGAGTGGACGACGGTTCCCACTCCGTACTCAAGCCTATTTGTATGGAGCCTCGTTGGACTGGACAAAGGTCCCACTACGTACTCAAGCCTATTTGTATGGAACCTCGTTAGACTGGACGAAGGTCCCCACTCCATACTCAAGCCTATTTGTATGGAGCCTCGTTGGACTGGACGAAGGTCTCCACTCCAAAGTGGGCTCTCTCTCTCCACTCTATGATGGCCCGAGCTAAGAGATTAGTTTTGGCCCACTCCCCACTCCGAAGAAGGGAAGACCATGGTCCTGGCCCTAGCACCCCTTCCCACTCTGAAGTAGATAAGCCCATAACTTGGGATCCAAGGCTCCCACTCCACAACACATGAGTACTAATAGATCAACCAATACCATGTAAAGTAAAAGGCAAGTGGTGCCCGCGAATGACGAAACTTGTTCCCCTCTATTAAGGGATGTGCTACAATCACGGCTGAGGACCAGGCGGAGAACGAGGGAGCTTGATTAATAAGTCATACGATCCTTATAAAAGGTAACCTTACTCTCCTTGAAAGGGGCGATCTCTTAACTCTAGAAACACACTAGTCTTCTCTATCTTGTCTCTACCAAACTCCGATATTGACTCGACCGTCGAAGGGGTTTCCGACCAACCCCCAGTCGGGCAGCCTAACTATTTGTTCCTTGTGCAGGCCATCACCCATCGGTGCACCAAGGTTCGTCCATGAAGTTCCATCTTACTCTATTGCGAAAATTGGTCCGCACAGTATTCACAGCGTCTTTTATTTAAAATATTTTTTAATCTTCGGCAATCAAACACTGATGAAGTGTAAGAATTTCAACCGTTTGAAAATATCTCAGTAAAACATGACTATAAATTGACGATGATAGCATATTAATTACAAGGTTTCGAAGTATAATTCTACATCAACTTCACCTTGGTTACTTGCCACATGGGTCAGGGTATCAAAAGGTTTAAATCTTAGAGAGAGGTTGAAATTTTAGAACTAAACTAGTTCTGCTCTTAATAGCCTAATTCTCATTCAATATATCCAGAGACGACCATCAATTTTACCTGATCAAAATGGGTAATGACATGGTAAAAGAAGAAGGTGAACAGAAGAATCCTTCCAACCTGAAAACATTAGAAATTTACAAATTATAAAATCTAAAAGCATAGCAGCAAAGGAACACTAACATGGAATTCACTACAAGTTGATCAATATGTTTAATGAAAACACGTGAACCACAAAAATTATGAAGAAAAAAAAAAAAGAAGAAGCAAATACTCTATTAAGGATGTAACCTTGGATCATGGATTCGGGTAATAATTTGGAAAGGGGGTGAAATACAGATATATTTCATTCACAATTCACCCACATTTTCCCTTTCTCTTTCCAAATCTCTACTCAAAGAATTCCTACCCAAATCTATGATTCAAAAATAGTCTAAAAGTGAAACACATTAGAAAACTATATATGAGAGAGGCATCTTCAATATAAATATGCATGATGGATGGTATCTATCTTAGGAATTTCTAATCTAGATTAGAGAAGTGCAAAGTGATGAGTATCTAATTTATCCTCATTCTCAAATTGAAATTATTCTAATTAGTGCATATATCTTCAATAGCACACCAAAGGCCTAGGAGTGGGGGTCATTTCTTTATTTTCCTTAGCACGTATCCTCTTTCCTCTTACCTTTCTTGCTTTTAAATAGTTTTAATTCTATACACCTACACTTTATTTGTTTCAACGGAAAATATTTTCCAATGGAAAACATTTCTATAGAAAACCTTTTCTAGAAAATGTTTCTATGTTTGATTAATTGAAAAACCCAGCCTACACTTTTCCTTTAAACCCAGGTATTAAGAAGAAGGAAATTGAAGCCTAATAACCAGCATAGATGAGAGACACATTCCAACACACCTTCCTGGACTACAACATATAGTAGCCGGACAAATGGCATACCAGTCACATGTCCAACCAAACTTTGATACTAAATTGAAAAGCCCAGCCCACACTTCTCCTTAAAACTCAGGTATTAAGGAGAGGAAAACTGGAGCCTTATAACTAGCATAGATGAGGCTACTCCAGACAATGTGGGACACATTCCAACATGATTGTTTTCTTGAAACTAATGTACTAATGGTTGGTGGTGGTGGCGACAACGGTAGTTGTGTGGTGGTGGTAATGATGGGGTTGGAGTTGGTAGCAGTAATGGCAGTAGAGGTGGTGGTAACAACGGCGGTGATGGTGGCCGTGGCTGTGGTGGAGGGGATGGTAGTGATGGAAATGTGGTGACATTCGTAAAATTTTAGATTTAGAAAAGATTTTTAAAAGTAGAAAAGATTTTTTGTACCCAAATAGGCTTGTTTTTCGTTGACTATGGAAAACGTTTTCCATTGACATTCGTTTTCCATTATACCAAACGTCAAAAAATGAGAAAAATATTTTCCAGAAATTTTTTCTGCCTAAACAAACAGAACGCTATTAAAAGCCCTTTTATAATTAACAATGATGTTTTCTATACCTCTTTAAATTAACCACAAGTCTACAACTACAAAACCCTTTAATAACTCTATAGCATACTTGTTCTCCTATTATATCATGGGAATTGATGTCAACATAATTCTAAATCTGTTGGAGACAAGATTATATTGTCAAAAATATCAGAAGATCTGGAAGATATTAGAATATATGAAGATCCCATGATTTATGTTTATTATGATTTTTTGTATCTTCGATTTATTTCAATTCCTTAACTGAAGGGATTTGATTGTATTTCCTACTCTACATATATGGTATATCATGTAAATAAGAGTATAAAATTGAGTGAATGAAAGATGCAGTCCCTAGGGCTTTGTGTGTGTGGATGTAGGCCAATATTGGCCGAACCACGTTAAACCTTTGTGTTATTTCTTTTCTCTTTTTTGTCACTATTATCTTTCCATATTCAATCTTATTTCCTTATTAAAAAATTCAACTATCAATTAAAAAGCCGAATTTGAGTCAAAATCCAACCCACTAATTCATTCAAAACTATGTTTGAAGCATTTCAAAATGATTTATTACACTACAAGGCTTCTATATTTCCTTATCTTACTTATAAAAATAGGGTATAGAGGCGTGGGAACCTCTGTTCCCATTTGTTTGCCTTTCAGCATTTAACGCTCACGACCAGAAAGAACCAAGATTTGAGGTTTAATTACTAGACATTACCAACCACCCAACAAACAATGCAGCACCATTGCAGATGTAAAGTTTAGAATTCTTCTCACCAGCAACATCCAAGTACCTGCATATATAATGATAACGATGAGCCAAGGTTAAGCTTTAGGAATGTGAAATCAAAAGAATTTTTGGATTTTAACTTTACCATCTTAAATTAACAAATGGGGTAGTGCACTCGGTAAAGAGAACCATTGTTATGTAAACCTGTCCTTGTCCGCTTACGAGGGAGAGGAAGATTGAAAAAATAGATAGTCCATGATGCAAGATCTGACACAAATAAAGAGATGAATGAACACAGTAAGAATCCAGGCAGTCGCCTATATCTCAGAATTCACTACAACAATATTTCAATGACATATAGAATGAATATCTGTACTTACAAATTCCATACCACCTAAAGCTGGAAAATGCCAAAACATCATCACTGAGTCAGACAAAAAATAACCAATGGATATCTGTAAACATTTGAAAAAAAAAAAATTATCAAACAAATGTTAGAAAGGAAAATGTCGTAAAAGGTATGGACAAAGCATTTTCTACCACCTAGACTCACAATGGGAGTGGGGACCCATCACTACAAGAAAAAGCACCTTTGGCGACTAAATTTTTAGTCGGAAAAAGTCGACTTTTTACTTTCCCCGACTAATTTTTTTAGTCGCTGGTTTTGTCGCATATAGATGGTCGGCAGAAGTATTGGCGACTAAAACTTTTTAGTCGCCAATAAGTACACATTTGGCTGCTAAACTGTTTTAGTCGCCAAAAGTCTTCACTTTTGGCTACTAATTCAAATTTAGTCGCCAATTGTCCTACTTTCAGCGACGAAATTTACATTTTTGGTCGCCAAAACTGCTTTTTGTTGTAGTGCATAATCAGGTGCTGTAAGCCCCACTCCCATTGTAAGTAGGCGTAGAAAATGAAGTAGAAAATAGTGTGTCTATAATCTTTTTCTTTATGTAAATTACAGCATTCTCAATCCAATCAACAACTTAATTAGCATCTAATTGAGTCCAAAAGAGAGGTAGATAGAACATGTGGAATTCCTTCAAATAAATTATTGATGATCATGAACAATATAACTCATGAACAATAGGCCTATTTAACAATGTTGTTTGGCTAGTTTTGTGAACAAAACTAGCCAAACAACATTGTTAAATACCAAAATTAGGTTTGACAGTTGTAAATCCATAGCAAGAAAAATACCCTAGAATAAGAGGCCGTGAACATTATGACAAACAAGTAGCAAAAATCCATGAGAGAGAGAGAGAGAGAGAGCATGAACACCATGGAAAAGTTCAGTTAGATTTAGTTCATTTACAGTTGTTGGTGATGTCTACGGTGTGGATCCTTCGCGTACTTTAACTTTGCTTATTTCTCAATTATTTTGTTTAATTTTCAGGATGATCCTTCTTGCACTTAATATCTAAGATTTGTCAGAGGATGGCACATGACTGCATATGAATATTATGTTAGATAATGTCTCAATGGGACCACATATTTAAAAGTGGTGTTATCATTTATAAGAAGCCTACAATTTAAGTGATTCAATTTAGTTAATAAGCTTAAGGGTATATGTGTTATGGACCTAATGTGTAGATACTAGTTGAGTAATTTCTATTTCTATGAGGGGCAGAAATAGAAATTAAAACATATTGGTTAAGTTGGTTTTCCTTCTTTAAATTGCCACACCGTTTCATTTTGAAAACCAATTTCAACCTTAAAAGGTTATGGTCTCTATTCCTTCCAATGGAGTAGAACTGCCATTTTTCTTCTAAATCCTCTCAAGGAGAAACATAAGGCACCAAAAGGGAAAAGATTAGAAGGCAATAACAAAATCAATAACAAAGGGTTTATTGATAATCACGCTTCCGTTTAACCGTTCATCGATGGATTCGGGTAAGTTTTTGTCTTGATTTCTTGATGATTCACATGGTAGATGATCCAAAACATAAAGTTTCATGTTCTGAAATTTTGTTTACAATTGGTATCAGAGCATATATATCATGTGTATTATTAGAATTGATATGCTATTATTCATCTTAGTTAGTTTCCTGGAATCAGATTCTGTTTTTCTTATTAATGCAAATTATGTATTTTCTGTTTGTTTTTGGGAAAATGGTGATCTGTTTTCTGAAAAAAAAAATGTGCTTAACTTTAGTGAGCTCAGAAATTTGTTATCATGACCTGAGGGTATCAAACAATCTTGTCCATTAACTATATTGATATAGGATCAAAGCGGTTTTCGTTACATTAATCGTAACTCGACCCACCAATGGTCACGTATACCAATACAGCTAAATAACATAGATCAATCATGGATGCGTAGCATGGAAATTACATGTAATGTGATCCATACATGCCTATTTCCAACTGGTCCTACTTAACTTTATTGAGATCAATACTTCATAATACTTAACAGAGTGTAATAAACTGAATACTTCATTTCTGCAGAAATTAATCTAATTACATAGATAAAACTCAAGGCTGACATAAAGCAGTAATATAAAAACAAACTCCTACTAAACCAAAATGTTCTCAAATAGAATAACACCCATATGAGCAGTGTGCTCATGAAAGACCTTGGGTGGTAGTCCCTTCGTAAGTGGATCTGCTATTATGGAGTTTGTCCCAATGTGCTCTATGGAAATTTGTCCACTCTGCACTATTTCTTTTACAACTAGGAACTTGATATCAATATGCTTTGATTTTGTCGAGCTCCTGTTGTTATTGGAATATAAAACTGCAGACTTATTGTCACAATATAACTTAAGTGGTCTTTCAATGCTATCCAAAAGACGCAACCCAGTGACAAAATTCCGCAGCCATATCCCTTGGTTTGATGCCTCATAACATGTTACAAACTCTGCGGTCATGGTGGATGAAGCTATGAGCGTCTGCTTTGCAGACCTCCAAGAAATTGCTCCGCCAGCTAACAGATAAATATAGCCTGATGTGGATTTCCTACTGCCTTGGCATCCATCAAAATCGGAGTCGGAATATCCAATGACCTCTAATTTATCCGATCTTCTATATGTGAGCATATATTCCTTTGTTCTCTATAAATATCGCATAACACGCTTGACTGCTTTCCAATGATCCATGCCAGGATTACTTAAATATCTGCCTAACATGCCAACTATAAACGCAATATCCGGACGCGTACATACTTGAGCATACATTAGACTCCCTACAGCCGAGGCATAAGGAATCTTCTGCATTTCTTGAATTTCAAGACTGTTCTTCGGGCATTAGCTGAGACTAAACTTGTCTCCCTTAGCAACCGGGGTTTCACCTGATTTACAATTTTGCATGCCAAATCTAATGAGTATTTTTTCGATATAGCTCCTTTGTGATAATCCCAGAATACCCCAAGAACGATCTCGGAGTATTTCGATTCCTAATACAAAGGAAGCATCACCAAGATCTTTCATTTCAAAATTCTTAAATAGAAATCTCTTGGTGTCATGCAATAAGTTTATATCGTTTGTGGCAAGCAATATGTCGTCAACATATAAAACCAAAAATATGTGTTTACTCCCACTGAACTTGTGATACACACATTCATCAACAACAATATTGGATTTCCCATGTATGGTATTATTATTAATCAGGTTATTAATTAATTAAGATTGGTGGTAGATGTGTCTGTTAACATAAATTTCAGAACTTCATGTTTCGGATCATTTACCATGTGTATTATCAAGAGATCAAGACAAAATGACATACCTGAATCCATTGATAAACGGTTAAACGGAAGCGTGCGAGGTTTGCAATCACTCAGTACTTTGTGCGTCTGAAAGAAATGCTGCAGAAGTGTTTTTCACGCTCGAGCGGTGTTTATTACGCTCGAGCGGCTCTGAGCCCGGCGGCCCCTATGGCGAAATGAGCTCATTGAGAATCCATTTCTCCTTCTGGCAGTTATAACTTACCTTAAATTGGTTAAATTGTGCAGGAAGAGAGATGAGAACTAAATGCACGAGCAAATCATCAGATAAGTCGAGCTTTAGTGCCTTAAGTTTTGAAGCAAGATGAGACATTTCCATGATGTACTCGCGAACATTACCCTTGCCTTTATACTTTATTGAAATCAAGCTTGCTAAAAGCGTGCTTGTTTCAGCCTTATCGTTTTTTAGCAAAACGCTTTTGAATTTCTGAAAGAAATTCACCGGCAACGGTAACATCCTCTGTTATTGCACCCCAAAAAACTTCTGGAATCCCACGCTTCATGATCATAAGACTTAGCCTGTTAGAACGATCCCACTTTTCAAAGTACACAGTTTCCTCAGGAGTACTTTGTGTAGTGAGAGCATTCGGTTTTGGCATCCTTAATGCCAAGTCTATGTCATCCTCAAAAAATGTTGCAATTCCCGTCTCAAATATTGACCTATTTGTGGGATCATAAAACTTGTAACCCCGTGATCGTTCGGCATAGCCAATAAAGTAGCTGCTAATGGTTTTAGAGTCCAATTTTCGTTCATGAGGTTTATAAGGCCTCGCCTCAGCAGGACACCCCCATACATGCAAGTGTTTTAGACTAGGCTTTCGCCCAACCCAAAGCTCATAAGGTGTTTTGGCAGCTGCTTTAGTTGGCACCCGATTTAAAATATAAGTTGCTGTCTTTAGAGCCTCACCCCAGAGGGACTCTGGTAAAGTAGAATGACTAATCATACTTCTTACCATATCCTGAAGAGTCTGGTTTCGTCTCTCAGATACACCATTCATACTAGGTGATCCTGGCATGGTGTATTGTGGGACAATTCCACATTCCTCCAGGTATTTTGCAAACGGTCCTGGACGTTGTTCACCTGATCCATCATATCTGCCATAGTATTCACCACCACGGTCAGACCTGACACTTTTAATCCGTTTGTTGAGTTGTAACTCAACTTCGGCCTTAAATTTTTTTGAATATGTCCAAAGACTGTGATTTCTCATGGATAAGAAATAGATACCCATATCTGGGTTGCGTCTTTTGGAAGGCATTGAAAGACCACTTAAGTTATATTGTGACAATAAGTCTGCAGTTTTATATTCCAATAACAACAGGAGCTCGACAAAATCAAAGCATATTGATATCAAGTTCCTAGTTGTAAAAGAAAGAGTGCAGAGTGGACAGATTTCCATAGAGCACATTGGGACAAACTCCATGATAGCAGATCCACTTACGAAGGGACTACCACCCAAGGTCTTTCATGAGCACACTGCTCATATGGATGTTATTCTATTTGAGAACATTTTGGTTTAGTGGGAGTTTGTTTTTATATTACTGCTTTATGTCAGCCTTGAGTTTTATCTATGTAATTAGATTAATTTCTGCATAAATGAAGTATTCAGTTTATTACACTCTGTTACGTATTGTGAAGTATTGATCTCAATAAAGTTAAGTAGGACCAGTTGGAAATAGGCATGTATGGATCACATTACATGTAATTTCCATGCTACGCATCCATGAT